GGATGCATGGGACTCTACAGCGAAGGGATTGGCGATGCCGTACCGACGCTAAAGACTTAAGTCAAGTCAAGTCAAGAAAGAAAAGAACTACTTCTACTGCTTGTGGTTCCTTGAATGTATTTACTTGCCAAATACTATTCTTATGTTCTTAAGGCTATACACCAAGAAAGAGAAGCACTGTTATTTGATTACCTTTACTTAGAGGCCATCTGCATTTAGTTCTCATGACAGAATGCATGACTAACAGCCATTCTTTTAATGTTAAGAAAAATAATATAAATAATTGGTGCCTTAAGACTGTGGGATTTCTTTGCCCCTTTTCTTTTTCTTCTTTTCATTCCATTATTCTTGGGTGCCCTTTGTTTTAGATTAGAAACCTGAGAGCAAAGTCTTTGGTCATTTCTTCACCTTGATTTATAGCACATTCTAGTGTCACCCAACCATTGTTACACTGATACAGTAATCATGAGGACAGGTTAAATATCACTTCAACAGTGGCTGGTTGATGAGAGCAGATGTTGTAAAACATTTGAAAAGAAATGAGATGTGTTACAACTGACATTTGTAATCCACTTTAGGAATAATTTGCAATAAAGAGTATTTTAAAATATTTAAATAAATATTTAAATGATAACATTATTACAAACTTGCACAACTTAAAAGGGAGTTATGAGATGCATGAAATATAAGCTTTTGGTGTCTTCTAGAAAAAAAGGATATTTCTGATTTTGGTGAAAATGAACCAGTGATTATCGGTTGCTGCGGGAATGCATTTAAAGGAGTGCTTTCGTTCCCCTCTCCTATTTGTGGTTTCCCATTAACAATTGTAAAAACATGATGCTGGACTAAGCAGCTTTTGATTAATTTAGTATAGCTTCCCGTGTATGTGTTGTGTGTTTTTCCTGCTCTTAATCTATTTAAAAAGCAGCCTCTCTAGATAAAAACATTCACAAATATATACCACATGCAAGCATCCTTTATTTACCTCATAGGCATTCTTGATATTCAAAGGCTGGCCAAAGGCTGCCACATGGCCTACAATTCCCTTGTTCCATTCCAAGCGGATACAGTTGTTTGAAGCTTCTTCTAAGGTGGAACCTTCTGCAACATCAAAGAGTCGGCTGATAAGAAACTTCTCATTGGAACTGTCTTCACAGACCAGAAATAGGGAATACCGATCGGCAGCTATGAGTTCATTGATGTGCAAGAAAATTTTATGGCAAAGGGCTGTGACATCCAGGTGACTAGAAATATCCTTCACCAGTTCTAAGAGTCTTGAGCACTGATCCCCTGCATTGGTTCCAAGTGTCCGAGATTGGAGAGGCATCTGTTGCTTCTTTTCAGTATCTGACAAGAAGCTCACTGTTCCAACAGAATCTTTGATAACAATGGGCCTAAGAGGCCTGTCAAATTCAGAAGCAGATATCTTCCTAGTTGGTGGTGTGGAATTAGTGCTTTCAGTCCGTGTGGAACAAGAACAAGCTTCACTGTGATGTTTGGTTCCTTCTTTGCACACTGGAATAGTATGAACTCTCTCAGAAAACCATGCATTGACCATCTCTCTGCATAAGAGAAGAAGACAGTAAATAAGAAGACAATTGGTAGAAGTAGCGTCAACACATTGAGAAAAGAAGCACATCTGTACAGCCACAACCTTTTCCTCAGGATGGTCTCTATTTAAAACTAATTCAGAGACTGTCTTGAATGTTTAACATAAGCCAGCAATATCTCTGAAGCCCTTGTTGACAAAAATGGCCTGGGTGAAAAAAAGAAGTCATCAAAACATTGAAATATTTTGGCATGCCATGATGTTGTAGATGACCATTGAAAACTTAAAATCTCGAGATATTTTTTAAAAATATTTTAGCTGAAACAGCACAGGTGTCAAACACGTGGTGTCACACAGCCATCATGTGACATATCATGACTTTTTCCCCCTTTGTGGAGCTGAGGTAGGTGTGGCCTGTGCGTGACGCATTCAGCCCGGGGGCCTCCACCCTGTTGGTGGACACCAATTTATCAACACCTGATTTAGAAATGTATGCTTCATAAACAGGATGTCATTTCACATCAAATTGAATGATTACGTTTTTCATATTTAATCCTAGATGCTCATATATACATATCCTTCTTATTCCTAATAGAGAAATATAATAGATTTCAGACATAAAATAATAGCCAACACATAAAGCAGATCTTTAATTACCCTTACTATTCTAAAGATATGATGCAAAACCTTCCAAATGTTTTTATTTATTTTTGTTTTATTTATTCATTTGTATCCTGCCTTTATTATTTTTACAAATAGCTCAAGGTAATCAACATATCCAACACTTGTATTCTTCTATTTCCCCACAACAACAACCTTGTGAGGAGGATTGGGCCAAGAGAGAGAATTCACCCAGCTGGCTTTCATGGTTCAGAAGGGACTACAACTCATGGTCTCCTGTTTTCTAAACCTGGTGCCTTAACCACTACATCAAACTATATTAATATGTTATATTATAAAAGTGGAATGTATTGCCAGTGTCAATTATTCACATTCTAGTTATTTACATATTCATTTATTTAGCATACATCTATTTATTCAAGTTGCATGGGATAATAGTGAGATTGTACTTACGGAGGACTGGATTTCAGTCGAGGTGGCCCAGTGGTTAAATGCAGCACTGCAGGCTACTTCAGCTGACTGCAGTTCTGCAGTTCGGCTGTTCAAATCTCACCGGCTCAGGGTTG